TGCTCTGGGGAGGGCGCGCCCAAGACCGACCTCATGGCCTTCAGTCCCAGCCTTCCTCCTTGTCCAGTACAAGACGGAGAAATGGAAGAGCAGTCTATTGAAGGGGACACTTCTAGGAAGGTGGGTTATTACTTTTTTATTTCAATATGTTGTTTTGTGAATAATATTTTATTAACCGCTTTCCACCCTCATATATGTCTCAGAATATCTCCATCCTTTCTGATATAACATATTTCTGTAAAACCTCAAATATTTCTAGTAATATCTAATCTAATATAATTTATTTTAAAAGGTCATTTTGGGGGCATCTGCTGGCTCAGTGGTAGAGCATGTGTCTCTTAAACTCGGGTTGTGAGTTCAAGACCCACGTTGGGCATGCAGCTTACTGTAGAAAATAAAGAAAGAAAAGTTCATTTTGTACTTTGTATAGTGTATCCTGTGCATCAAGTTTTTCTTGATACTTCAATTTTTAATTATTCAACTTATTTTTAAGTATTTATATTTCCAATACAAATATTTGATGTAGTTTGTAGGTTTGGGTTTTTTTTCATAAACTAGTGTCTTTTTTATGTTACAGGTATTTATGAGATTAGTACTTTATTTAACTAGTAATTTATTAGTAGTTTAACTTTCAAATCTAAATTTTGAATGACCCTCTTACCTTAAAGACTGCTCTGATCATTTGTCTTCAGGGTGGATATGTACGTTTCCCCTCTTATTAAAGTCCCCTGCACTTATAAAGAGTGCAGGGAGTGGGGCTCAGGTCATGATCCCAGGATTCTGGGATGGAACCCCAATAGGGGGGGGTCCCTACTCAGTGGGGAGCCTGCCTCTCCCTCTCCAGTTCCCACTACTTGTGCACACACACACTCTCTCTCTCTCTCTCAAATACATAAGTAAGTAAAATCTTAAAAAATATCTGGGGGTGCCTGGGTTGCTCAATTGGTTAAGCATGGGACTCTCCATTAGGGTCAGGTCATGATCTTGAGTTCCTGGTATGGAGACTTGCTCAGACCTCCACACCCGTCAGTGGAGTAGGCTTGGGGACTTCTGTTCCTTTCTCTCTGCCTCTTCCCCCTTCTTGCTTGGGGTGTGCGAGAGAACACACAGGTGCTGTCTCAAATAAATCTTAAATATCTGTAGTGCAATATAGCTTATAATGCATACTATATCCTCAGTATTCAGTGTTTATATTTTATTTTTAATGGTACTCTGTGTAGACTTGAAGTTCATTTATAAATGTCCTAATCTATGAAATTTAGGGCTTTGAGCTTTTAAGATGTTTTTTCATTTTTATTTTGGTAGTGGTGATATCTCTGCTGTGTGTACTATTCACTTCTTTGAGCGGAAGAAAATTTTTATAGTTCTGTTGTAAAATGAAAGAGTTTAATGAGCTGTTCATGATCTACACTCTTATCAGCATGAAATATTGCTTATTATGTTCAAGTATAAGATTTTGCACTGTGAGGAAAAAGTCATGATTATGTTTAATAATGGAGAACATTTGAAAATTCCTTTTAATTTTAAGGAGGTTGAAAATAAGTCCAAAATAATATGAGAAATTTGAAAAGAATGCTGAATTGTTCTATTAGAACGTTCTGTATTGATCTGAGATCGTAGCGTGCATTTAGTTTATAGTTTCTCTAGTCATCTTAAACAGGGTTGTGTTGGATGAGGTAGACTGCGAAATGCAAGACAAAGTGCAGGGTGCCAACACTATCCTATTCAATATTCCTTTCTGAGACTAGTTGTTACCCGACACCTATGATTTCATTTTTGTTTATTTTACTAAATCATATTTTATGAAAAAATAGTAGTGCTATTTTATAAAAAAATAGTAGTAGATAAAAAATAGTTTATCATCTCAACTTTGGTCCTTAACAATACTTTTTCCTTTCTGTATGCAGGCTGAGTTTTTATTCTGTATGTGCTTCACAAATAGCTTCTAATAAAATGTGAAATCTCTATTCAAGTTTAGGAACACCAAAAAGACAGTTGTGGCAGGAATTTAAGCACGACATTGCCTATTTATGTTAATACTTCCCATGGCCAGTCTCCTATTCTCAGAGATTACAGATGATAAGTTAATGCAGAGTATTTCAACTTGCATATAGAATTCCTTTACCTTATATCTGCCTTCTCTTTCCTTCCCCCTTTTAAAATTTTATTTATTTATTTATTTGACATTGAGATTGAGAGAGATAGATAGATCACAAATAGGCAGAGAGGCAGGCAGAGAGAGGGGGGAAGCAGACTCCCTGCTGACCAGAGAGCCGGATGCGGGGCTCCATCCCAGGACCCGGGGATCATGACCCAAGCCAAAGGCAGAGGATTAACCCACTGAGCCACCCAGGTGCTTTTTCTGCCCTTTATAATGTCACTTTTCCCCTCTTGCAGAAGAGTCTTATCCAAAGGTATCTCTTCATGTGAGCAATTAATGAAACACAGGATTGTGTGTTTACCAATTTATTACTATTTATTTTACTTCACTTTTTGGGGGGACATGTTTAAAACACAAACATTCACCAAAAGTTTAGCACAACCAGTTACCATTTTATCCAGCAACCTAATAATTTTAAAGACTTTGGAGGAGGAAATGCAGATAGGGGAGGAAATGAGGTGAGATTTCAGGAGTAGTTGAGAGATAGCAAAGACACATTTTACTGTTTTTAGTTTGCCATTGTCTTCCTCTATCTGTTTTTATTTTTTAAATATTTTATTTATTTATTTGAGAGAGAGAGAGTACAAGCGGTGGGAGTGGCAGAGGAAGAGGGAGAAGCAGGCTTCCTGCTCATCCCAGGGACTCCATTCCAGGATCCTACAATCAAGACCCGAGCGGAAGGTGATGCATAACTGACTTAGCCACCCAGGTGCCCTGTCTCTGTTTTATGATAAATATTTTTAAGCAATTCATGGATAGTTTCTTTCATTTAACTCAGAATTATGGAAATTTCAGGATTAAATCAAAATATTTCAAGTTAAGGATTCTTGCCAAAAAAGAAATTAGTCAATTTCTTTTAAAACCATGACATCTTGAGGTACTTGGGTGGCTCAGTTGTTAGCGCCTCTGCCTTTGGCTCAGGTCACGATCCCTGGGTCCTGGGATCCAGCCCACATGAGGCTCCCTGCTCAGCAGGAAGCCTGCTTCTTCCTCTCCCACTCCCCCTGCTTGTGTTCCCTCTCTTACTGTCTCTCCCTCTGTCAAATAAATAAATAAAATATTTTTTTAAAAAAACCTGTGACAACTTAGGAGTGCCTGGGTAGCACAGTTGGTTAAATGCCTGGCTCTTGGTTTTGGATTGGGTTGTGATCTTTTGACTTCGTGAGATCAAGCCCCACATCAGGCTCTAGTCATCATGGAGTTGGCTTGAGTTTCTCTCCCTCTGCCCCTCCTCCCAGTGCTCTCTCTCTGAAATAAATAAACGTAAAAACCCTCTAACATTTTAATTTTATAATGATGTTTAATATAATTTTATTAAATGGCATTAAAATGATGCTAATCCTGAGTACTCTATGGCTCTTGATGGCATAGTATTTGTTATAGTCCATTTTAAGATGAGTAACCAACCCATTTGGCTTTATTGGTATACTATAATTATTGAGCTATATGATAGCCTTGGTATTCTGAGGGCTTTAAAAACTGTCTTTGATGTGTACTTAACTAATGAAGCAATTCCTTAAACCAAAAATGGAATGGACCTCCAGCCTGTCATATTCCCAAAGGGACTAGATTATTTAAATCAGCAAACACAAGGAGTCATGTCTTAGTCATGTCTTTTTCTGAATTTAGTAACCCACACGTGCTAAAAAAGTTTTTGCTCCTCTTTATGCAATATCTTCAGTTTATGGCTTCCACAACTTAAAAAGAATTACAAGTAGTTAGAACTATAAATCTTTTGCATAGATTTATAATCATTGAATCCCTATTTTTAGAAGTATTCCAAATGAAGACTGCAACTCACTTTCTCATAAAAACCTAAGATTGCCATGGGTAGCCATTTACAATTTTTTTCAGTAGAGAAATTTGGTATTTTCCCAGTGGCTGCCATCTTATTAGAAGGATTTCAGATATTGGATAGTTGGCTTCTTAACAGTCTTGAGAATGGTTTAAATATTTCTCTTTTACTATAAGACTGATAAGCTTTATTGTAATTGGTAGTTGTGATGCAAATTTCCACATGGTTTTTGCACTGGAGATAAGAACAGGAAAATAAAAATTGAGTAAATGAATTAGATTTAGAATGCTTTTATACTCTAGTCTCTGTAAACCAATTCTGGAGTAAAATGGATATAAACAAACAGAAAATATACCTTGAATTTCTGATTCAGTCGGTTTTCCTTGGGAGGGTTAGAAAGTATTTTATAAATAGCAATGAATGTAATGTGAATTTAAGTTGTCCTTCAGGATGGAAGCTACAACATTCATCCTGAGCAGATGCAATAATTGAAAAAGCTTTAAAATGAGCCAACAATAAAAATGCTTTGTATTTCTCGGAGTCAGTACTTGGTAAATTCATTAATATCAAAGAAAATAAATCTTTGGATAAACTGGTAAGTAGCTTGCATTTCAGTATTGATTTGAAACACCATTATGTTGAGGTGGTAATTTAAGAGAACTTGTATCTTGAGTTATTCTCCTCACAGTTGAATGAAATGTTTAGAATAATTTTTTTTAAGATTTTTTTTTTAATTTCACAGAGAGAGAGATCACAAGTAGGCAGAGAGGCAGGCAGAGAGAGAGAGAGAGAGAGAGAGGAGGAAGCAGGTTCTCCGCTGAGCAGAGAGCCCGATGCGGGACTCGATCCCAGGACCCTGAGATCATGACCTGAGCCGAAGGCAGCGGCTTAACCCACTGAGCCACCCAGGCGCCCCATAGAATAATTTAACATAGTATAAGGATTAAGCAATAGAAATTATAGTATTAGCAATGGAGTAAGCTCAACAAGAGGCCATTCCAAAATGATCACTTTCTGAAAATCTAAAAAACACACCATCTCTAGTCATCTACAAGTACGGACTTCTTTTAGTGTTTATATACATGATAATATAATTAGTTCAGTAGTGCGTTCTCTTAGATGTCTATATCCAAGGTAAAACTGATAGGATTCTAATTTGTAAGACAAAAACCACCTTTAAAGAACCAGTGGTCACACATAAGGAATGTATAAAGAAAGAACTAAAGGCCTACAAATTAAAAATGGAGCAATATATGAAGGAATTATGAGAGAAGCAATAGAAGTGAAAGAAATAGTATAAACACAAACGTACTTCCATTTTGAGCCACAGGATGTCGTTGTTCTCTAAGGAGCGGATTCTTTGAACAGAAGAAAATTACGATAATTCACGGACCAGAAAGAATCTCCACGGTTCCGGTGTTTTAAAGACTGTGCGCACCCATGTTGTTAAGATCAGTTGGGATCTCAGGAACAAGGATTCAAAAGAAAGATCTAAAAGGACTACATTTCTGATGAAATGTTGATTTACTAACGAGAAGCAAAGCAGGATGTTAGCTTCAGGACGAGGTGGCCAGGAAACCAAGCGCTTGCTGCTCTCCGTTCTGCTCCTTGCAGTCTGGGAGGCCGGCAGTGGCCAGGTCCACTACTCGGTCGTGGAGGAGACCAAACACGGCACCTTCGTGGGTCGCATCGCCCAGGACTTGGGGCTGGAGCTGGCGGAGCTGGTGCCACGCCTGTTCCGAGTGGCATCCAAGGGTCGCGGGGAACTTCTGGAGGTAAATCTACAGAATGGCATTTTGTTTGTGAATTCTCAGATCGACCGGGAAGAGCTGTGCGGGCGGAGCGCGGAGTGCAGCATCCACCTGGAGGTGATCGTGGACAGGCCGCTGCAGGTTTTCCATGTGGAGGTGGAGGTGAAGGACATTAACGACAATCCGCCTGTATTCCCAGCAACACAAAAAAATTTGTTTATTTCCGAAACAAGGGCTCTTGACTCGCATTTTTCACTAGAGGGCGCCTCTGATGCAGATATCGGGGCCAACGCTCTGCTGACTTACAAACTGAGCCCCAATGAATATTTCTCTCTGGAAGTACCCACCAACGATCAGGTAAAACCGCTCCAACTAGTACTAAAAAAACCCTTAGACAGGGAAGTCGCTTCAGAGCTTCTGTTGGTGCTCCAAGCAACTGATGGGGGCAAACCTGAGCTGACAGGTAGCACAGAGTTACACATCACAGTGCTGGATGTAAATGACAATGCCCCAGTGTTTGACAAAGCAGTCCATCGTGTAAAATTACCGGAGAATTCGAGAAACGGTACACTGGTTATTAGACTTAACGCATCGGATTTGGATGAAGGTTCAAACAGCCACATTCTTTATTCCTTTGCCGCTGATGTCTCTTCTAATACAGAAGATTTTTTCCACATTGATTCGGCCAGTGGAGAAATAAAAGTAAACGGAAAAATAGATTTTGAAGAAACTAAATTATGGAAACTTCAAGTAGAAGCAGTTGACAAAGGCCATCCCCCCATGTTTGGTCACTGCACAATCTTGGTAGAAATCTTGGACATTAATGATAATGCTCCAGAGTTGCTGGTGACGTCGCTATTATTGTCTGTTCCAGAGGATGCTACACTGGGAACTGTCATCGCCCTAATCAGTGTAACTGACCGTGATGCTGGTGAAAACGGGCAGGTGACCTGCTCACTAACACCCCGTGTCCCCTTCACGCTGGTGTCCACCTTCAAGAACTACTATTCGCTGGTGCTGGACAGCGCCTTGGATCGCGAGAGCGTGTCGAACTATGAGCTGGTGGTGAC